TCTATTCTATTCTATTCTATTCTATTCTATTCTATTCTATTCTATTCTATTCTATTCTATTCTATTCTATTCTATTCCATTTCTAACCAAATCTTTTGAATTCCATCAAATTAATCATGCTCAACATCGTCTATTGCAGGTAACATAACTGATGAATACTTCACAAAACTCTAAAATCTTGCGATAAAGTTGGTGCAAAGTAAACTGCTAAAATTGTCTATTTGTCAATAACCTGCTGTTACTGACTTGGTAAGATTTCTTCTACTCTATTTGAACTCTCAATGTTCTCAAAGCCTATTTTGTAAAGATTACAATGTTCCTTTTCCATTTCTCTTGTACATTGTGAATTCAGAGGAAATATGTAAAACCAGCACAACACTTGTTCAATCTGCCAGTTTTAAACTTTCACATTACTTGTCACCACTTTAAGGCTGTCTGCCTACACTTAGAGCCCCTGCTGGCAGACCTTTGTAACACAGCGTACCCTGTTTCAATTTCTGAGCGAGAAAAGGCAAAGTTTCGGAGCTCCTGTAGAGCACTTTGTGAGGAGGAATTTGATCTGTATAATTTAACCCACAATACAAGTCAGTGAAAATGGCTGTAGTGAAGTTTACCTAATGGAGTATCATTGATCATAAAAGCTTAAACTACTTATTCTCACTGAGTCAGTTGACTTTAATTTTAGACTGCAGATTTAATCACAGCTGGACAAAGACTATATAGAAACATGTGAAACATGCAGAATCATTTATTCAACTTTAATGTATGTTGTAGGATTACAATGAGAGGTATGATGTCCCTCTCACTAAACTGAGCCTACTGTAAATATTGTTTGCTGATATCTATATTGGTTTCCAACTAGCCTGATAAAAACCAGCCCCTTGTCCTTCGCTTTGCTTTATACAAGGGTCTGGACTCCTGGCTATAAAAAAGCGATTCTTGCTGGAGGCCTCTGTTGAAGTTAAAAGCGATTGGATCGGGTGGCCGCGATGTATAGTAAGCTAAGAAGCTAACCGGAAATTGCGTGCATTGTAAACAACCCTACTGAGAGGAGTGAAGTACCAAGCCGAACAAGACGACTGTAAATGAGTGCTGCTGCTTTGTCAGACAAATTTAACATATTTTGGAAGCCTTACCAACACGGAGTGGGTAAAATAAACTACAAGCAGACACTGTGCAGAAAACTGACATTGTCTTTCAAAACTCCGCCTTCTGTTCTCTGATTGGCCCAGATGAAAATTCTCCTGAAGAAATCCTTTTCTATGGGAGACGAGCCAGACAAAAATCAATTTGTACAACATTTTGCTGACCGTGATATTACATGTCACAATGGTTAGAGACATTTACCATAAACTCCTTTCTGTCAACCCTTGCACATTATGCGTGTGCTTCACTGCACTCAGCCCATCAAAGCACAGTTATAATA